TTAACACCAAGATTATCACCAGACATACAATCAAGCAGTAAACAATACCCTAATCAAGGAACTGTGGAGGGGGGACAACAACACCAACGTAGGCAGAGCAAGCCACTGCATATGAATAGAGAGCACACTTCACTCCATTCTAGCAGTGAAGATGTTACCTAGCCGGGTAATGAAACGTTTGCAAGAAAACAACCAAGCTCAGAGAACCCCAAGGACTCCACATAACCCATAATAAAGCCATTAATACACAAGAAAAAGACATATAACGTAAAGAATTATGATTTGATGAGCAAGTATGTAAGTAAAAGAAATATTTTAGAGACATCCAAAAAATTTCTATTACCATATCTTTTCAGGGCAGCACTTTTACAAATGCTACACAATGGCTGCACTTATAGAACATCCTAAATCTAGTTAACTAAAGACAAGTGCAGTGTTTGCATAACTTGATACATCTTAAGAAATGAACCATGTTAATGCTAAAATGGATGGGTTTCCCAGAACACTCTGATTCATAAACAACCCAACCCCCTTTTAACTTAGTCTTGTGGAGTTATTCCCAGCAAGTCAATGTTTACAGTATTGATTTTAAAAAATGAAGGTTGAGAAGATAAATGTATTTTGAAAGAAGGACTGGGCTTCTTTTCAGGGCAATTTGCTTTTTCAGTTTTGCTTTTTTAAAGGGAGTGCATTTTTCAGGTTTTGTTATTTTGGTACTTTACAAATGCAATTCTTACGCTCACAAAATTCAGTTTTTACATCGCCACCAGAAATATTCAAAATTGACTCTTCTTCTTTGATGGTGGGAGGGAGGGTAGTTTGACAAAAAGGGGAAAGAAAAGGAGTAAAGAGGAATCCGATTTATGTTTACTAAAGCCAAGAAAAACAGGAATGTCTCCCACATTGCAACTGACCATAAAAGGCAGAATCCAAGGCTTGGGTAAAACCAACTCGCCTTGCAACACTGCTTATCCTCTTCATACGAGAGGAGATCAAGCGGCGAGTGACTTCAAAAACAGGGGCGGAGCTCACAGCGGCGACTCCGCACGAGTTTCTCCGAACAGTTCACAGTTCGGGTTTTTTTTCGCCCCACTTCCTATTGGTCGGCGGAGAGCGCACGTAGAACCGCCTCTTCGTGACGATTGGTTAGGCTTGCGAGCAGGGTTCCCGGATGTTGGGACGTTACAGACGGGTATAAAGGGCTTGTGGAAGGCGGGAGAGGATGCAGTTTTGAACTGGCGCCGACGCATAATAATTATTATAACAACAATAATCGAAATACTGAAACGTGGTCTTCCGTGATTGGCTTAGGCGATTTCGAATTGCCTCTTCGCTTCTCGTTCCGGGGTGGACAGACCTCATTTGAAATGGTAAGGTAGCGATGAGGCTAAAGGGAAGAGTTGGGAGGCGCGGGCGCCCGGCTGAGCTCGAGGGCTCTTCTCCCTCAGGGCGCCCTTCGGGAGCGAGAGGTCCACTGTGGGGCTTGAACATCTCGCGCTCCCAACAGAATTCCGTTTTGAAAGAATTGGGGAGGCGAGAGGGGCGCGGTTTCTCTCCCTCTTACTGATACACCCCACCCACCCCCTACTGCGGTGGTCGGGCGTTTTATAGTTCTTGAGGCGCATGCGCTCCTTACCCTGGCTAGGGATGGTGGTGGGCGCGTGCGCGGCAGATATTTCAGCAGGGGGTGGGACGCTGAGGGTATTTCTGCTCAACGCGCATGTCCTTTCTGCGTGCTTCCGAGGCCGTGCATTTAAATCCTGAGGAACCGCGGTGTGCTCCGCTTCTTGCGCCTTTACGACGCCCGTCGCTGCTAGAAAAAGAAGCCCCGTTCCTCCCCTCTGATGCGGCGGAGAGGGGAAGAGTATATGGTGTTAGTGGGGGCTAAAGTTTCACGTGTCGCGATTGTCTTTCCTCCTCTCCAATGGATTTAGGCTGGAGGGAAAGCTGGGAAGGACTCTGGAAAGACGAAGACCAAGACGGTGTCTCGTTCACAAAGAGCCGGTTTACAGGTAGGTAGGCGCGTAGAAGTTTGAGGATAAAAGTCTTCCTCTTAACACCATCAAGACGTTTTGCATTTTCTGGAGAGGGAGGAAGTTAAACTGCTCCTTTTAAAGTTTAAATGGTTGCTGAGATTTTTTTTAAAGCTACATAGAAGAGTTTTCCTACCTTAAAGATAAAGTATCCTATTGGATATAACTGTCTTTCAGGGTAGATCTTGAAACTTCCAAGTTTTTTATTTAGGTGTTGAGCTTCTTTCTTCTGTGTTTGCAGTTTCCTGTTGGTCGTATTCACCGGCACCTGAAATCAAGGACGACCAGTCATGGGCGTGTGGGAGCTACAGCTGCTGTGTATAGTGCTGCTATCTTAGAGTACCTCACAGCTGAGGTGAGAGCTTGGTCAGGGGCAAAAAGCATTTTACATCGTGGGACCTATAGGTTGCAGTTGTATTTTACCTTTTTTATCTCAGTAAAATAGGTGTATTTATCAGATTTCCTATTAAATGTTTTTGTACTAAAAGACAAGTTATAGTTAATCTAGAGTAGCATACAAGCAATGTAAATAGGTCTAAATAAAAACAAATAGTTTCAAATGTGCCTAAGAATTTTTTTCACTTAGTGTGGTTGGTATAATCACCTTGAGGTGGAAAGGGAAAGAATCCAGTTGAAAAACACAAATAATCCCAAATTTGAAACAGAACAGGGCTAAAAAAAAAAAAAAAAAGCTATGAGCACAATATAGTATGTGAACTCCTAAAGTACTGAGCAATAACTTCCCCATAAACTGTTGATGTTAATTATTAAAAGACAGCCAGGAGGATGTAGTGTGCCTACCAATTTACAAACAAATTGAAAAAGAGATACAGCAAGCACTCTACTTGAGAGGTTATGACCTATGTACAGATATATGATCTTGTGAATGGAAATAAAATAACACTACCACCTTTGGACAGGGACAAATCAGCTCAACTGTTTATAGGATTTTGGGCTCCAAGTCTATATGTGGCCATGGGGCCTAGAAGTCTAAAACCAGGCAATTAGTCAATCAAACTTTAATTTGGGAGACAGTTCTCTGGGACACTGATTTGTCAGTAGATGAAACCTTCAGAAAATGGATAACAAGAAAATTGTCAGATCCTGGACAACTTAAGGGAGAAGCATCTTATATTACAGTTGAGAGAAAGGGTGGAGGTACACTTATTTTCTGGAGTGAGTGCTTTAAAACGGGGGTGTGCATGAAGTAGAAAAAATGTTTTTTATTTGAAATCCAGAACAATCCTCACATTCTGGATTTCTGCCAAATTGTTCAGGATCAGCCACAGCTTGGCAGAACCAAAACATTAATATTTTGGTTCTTCCAAGTTTTGGATTTAAAAGAAAATAGATGAAATATAGGCCATTCCTAGTATCCTCTCAGCAGCTCCCATTGCAGCATATTCCCTGGCCCACCTGCTCCCCAAACTTCCATTTCATTCCCACAGTCATTAACATTGGCTTTTCCCATTTGTTACTACCCCAAATCACTTTTGTCCCGAACAAAGCCATGTTTTGTGCATAGAACAAAACACCCCAAACATGTTTCTCAGTTCAGACCTGAACTGAAAACCACTGTACATAGGACATTTTGCATATCCCTATTTAAAATGCTATGCTCTGGACTAGTTACCTTCTGGCATTACATAGCTCAGAGGGAGTGTGCTTCTTTTTCCAAATCTCCAAATTCCTTTCTAGCATTCCTGATACATTCCAGGAGAATGGACTGACAAGACTAGTTGTGGGGACCAGCCTTCTTAACCTCTCAGTAGATTATTGTATCCTGCATGAAGGCATGCTGTTTGGTGTTTTGCAGTTAGTTTGTCTTGTCTTCATCTCTACAGGTTCTTGAGCTAGCAGGGAATGCATCTAAAGATTTAAAGGTAAAGCGAATTACTCCTCGTCACCTGCAGCTTGCAATAAGAGGTGATGAAGAACTGGATTCATTAATCAAGGCAACAATTGCTGGTGGAGGTATGTGCTAACTTTACTATTTTGTGGCATCTATAGTTAGTGATGCTTTGACCTAATGATTCTCTGCGTCTCCTATCATTTGAGTGGATAAATATTTTTCTTTTTTTTCTTTCAGGTGTAATTCCACATATTCATAAATCTCTCATTGGAAAAAAAGGTCAACAAAAAACAGTTTAAAGGATGATCTATTTAGAACTTTCGAAAGCTCTGTTGTCCATTGTTAGCGGATTTCCAGTGGACTTCATCTGTGAAACACAGTTTTGCCTTTCTTTATCCTTGAAGATGGAGCCCATCAAGCTTTCTAACCAAAATTCTGCATTGAAGTCTTAATCTTATTTAAGTGTTAAATGGCTTCAGAGAAGCTATTGTCTGTAGTGGTTCTTGACTGTTTTAGACATGTTGGATTTTAATGAGATTCTTGACATTGTTGCTAATCTGTAATTTTTAATGCTTCAAGTACATTTATTCAATTATACTATGAAATTTAACTACAAAAGATTTGGACACTAGCATTGCTAATTAAATGAAATTATAAAAACTTGAATTATAAGCTTTGATGTCAATCTCTTGTAGTTAACAATAAACAGTTCCACAAGAGAGGCAAAAGCAGCATTGCTTATGTGTTTTTGTATAGAACTTCAAGTATGGTGGAGGAGTTAAATAAATGAATGGATTGCTTTAAGGCAGTATGTTTGCACCATTTTTAAGTTGCTGAAAATGAGTATGATTAGTTGGGGTCACATTCTTGAAAAGTACTTTAGAATAAGCTAGGTATTTATAGTGTTTACTTAACTATTTGGTCCTTATTTCATGGAAGCTAATGTTCTTTACTGAGTACTAATGTGCATGCAGTATGCTAGCAGATACAGATGAAAACCCTTGCAAAACTGTTCTGAGACCAATCACTGCCAAAGGAATCACATTAAGCCAATTGTGGCTTGTATGGTTTTGGTTTAATGTGTGAACCTAAGCATTGTGACCTGTATGCCATGTCTGATCTAGGCTACTATGCATGCTGTGCCTTGTTCTGATGTTTAAAACTAATCTTCAGTACTAATAGCTGTGTTGCTTCAGCTGCCAGTTGAAATAAGTATCCATTTAGATAAGTACATCCAATTCCCAAACTAAAATGCTAAATTTGAAGTTATCCCCAGTTTCACTTAATAGATATATTGAGTATAAAACTCTGTTCTCCCTTCCCTCTCCCCCCTTGAAAAATACATGCCTTAGAATGTGTAATTTCAGAAAACCAACTAGTTTTGGTTATTCATGTCCTGAGTTTGTTGGGAAGAGGGGCTATATTGATTACTGTATTTCTGCCTTGTTAACCCTATGTGTCATAAAAAGATTTTTAATTTGTTTACAGAATGTACATTCTAAGTTTATTAAATTAAAACCAAATCAAAACTTTCTTAAGCATTTCTACAGAGCATTGAGTTCAGGTTTAATTGCTGTTAAAATCTTAAATGCCAATATTTTTAACCATAATAGCTGAAGTGGGGGTCAGTACAACTAAGCTGAAAAAATAAACACGTATTGCTTTGCTTACCTGTTCCAATGGGCATCATCTATAGCATATCAATAAAATTGCTGAAAAAATATTTTAATTGATGCTTACTTGACAGAGAAGCAAATACCTTTGACTTCAGCATACTGTAATATGGGAAAGCCTACTGAGCTGCATGGAGTGAGCCACAGGTCTAGTACCGTACTTATAAACGTGGCTTGCTTGGCCAACTGCTTTGCCAAGAAAAATGATGTAGCAGCTGCCTTAATTCTATCTTTGGGTGATGAGAATTGGGCACAATGGACACTTAATATTTACTAATTTGATGAAGTGGACTATGATTCCTGAATTATACGATCATAAACTGCTTAACATATTAGAAAGCCAGGTTTTTACTGCCAAAGCTGCTCCCTGGCATCTGCTACTTTGTTTCAAGGGTCGAGGATAGTTTTGGACATCTTTCTGTGGAGCTGAAAAATGAAGTTTGGGTGGCAGTACCATCTTAATACCGCTGATAGAACCAAATCCAAGGTGCCTTGCAAATACCATTTTTAAAATGAGTTGTAAAAATGACAGTCCGTTAGTGCCCTACCAAGAATAAGCAAAGCTGACTAAATAGCAATGCTCAATGGCGGAGAGTCACCTCTGGAACCTTTTTTTGAAAACTCCGCAGTCAAACGCGGCAGGACGGTCGAGGGAGCAGGCCCGGCTGGCGGACTGCAACCACGTTGTCGCGCGCTGCCGGCCACCGGCTCTGCGGGGAACCGGTCGAGCAGCGCGCCGGCCCGGCATTTTAGCCCAGCCAGTCCCGGCGCGTGCGCAAAGTCAGCTCCGCTACCGGCTGCAGAGCTTCCCGGAAGCGAGAGGAGCAGTAGCGGCTCTGCTGTCGGTCGGCCCAGACGCCTCGGGTCTCAGGCCGCGACGTTTGCGGGCGCCGGGCCC